ACCTAATGACTGTGGCTTTTCCAAAGATCTGGTGAGGGTGCACCCAGGGGACACTGAAGATAAAAAAGAAAAAAAACAAGAGCTAGTTGATTCAAGGGCAATCTCCTCAAATCCAAAACATGGTATGTCCTGATGTGCAGGAAGCTGAACTGTGGCAGGACTCCAGCTCGGCTGAACTGGGAATCCCTGACTGAGCTTAACTTAAATGTTGGAAGAAAGTGCAAGAGGGATACCTGGGAGCAATGTAGAAGCATGTCTCAAGAATTTAGGTTATGTGGCAAAGTTAATTTGCATTCCCACAAACAAGCACAAAGAGACAATGGTAGGTGAGGAAGTGGAAATAAAACTCAGCCGAGCTCTTCCCAGGCCTGTGAACTTATCAGAGGCCCATTTGCACAAGCACAACAGAGCACAGGGACACAAAGACAAAGAGGAACATAGATCAAGGACTCTGGAGGGTCAACTACCTTGCCTGTGCCCCTTCCAGGGCTGTACCAGTGTGGTATCCATCATGGTGGCCATCAGGAGAAGCTCTATGGATCACCTTGAACTGTGAGTGCTGCTGCTCAGGGGATGCAGGGACGGAGCATTTTGTGAACTGCACAAGACTTACTTCAGGGTTTTTAGGGGGAAGAACTGAAGGTAGGATGAGAGAGGGTTAGCTGGATTCAGCCCACAGGCTCGAGGGCCTGTTGTATGCACAGTGACTGGAGTGACTGCAGCTGTGTAATGAGAGTGCCAGCACCAGCAAAGCTTGATCCGGTGAGCAAGTGATGTTAACCATCAGGTTTTAAAATAAACACATCCAGTTTGACTGATTGCTAAAAATGCATAGATAGCTAAATATGTTATAAAAATAAAGCCGTCTTGCCAGTTAGACATTAGCATTGTGAAACAGAAAAGGAGACAAAGTATGTCTCTTCCAGAAAGAAAATATTCAGTAATTGCCATTTTTTGAAAACTCATGGTATCATTCACCAACGTATGTCAGAAGGGACTTCTGATCCCATCGTTTGTTCAGCTCAAGGTTTCTGATACACATCCATCAGCCATTTCAAAAAAATTTTAAGAAATGCTTTCCTCTTAGATGAGTATTTTCTGAAGAAATGAGATGATGAAGGGAAGCTCTGATGAATAGCACACAGAATATCTGTGTTGGGTTCAATTCCTATCTTTTTTTTTTTTTTTTCCCAAATGAATTCCATTAGGGATTTGTTAAAACAGAAATGGCCGAGGACTCTTCAGTTCCCTTTGAGTCCTGGAAGGCAAGCTCTGTCTCATCCTATTTTGTGCTTCCAAATGTCCTTACTCTTAAATGGGAGATCACAATCAAAGAAATAAATGAAGCCAATTGTTTCTTTCCTTTCATCAAGCATTGAGCTTTAGCATAGAGGAGAAATTTATCAGGAAGTGCTAATTTTTCCCTATTAGTACACCTAACTTTCCAAATCTTTCTGAATGCCCCCGGATAGGTAAGGTTTGTTGTCTTCTGGATTAATTATTACTGTTTTCCTGTGAAGTTTTTCTGCATTCTTAAGTAATGATTCAGGGACATTTAGAAAGCCACTACCAGTTGAACATGTTAATTTTTTCTAAGAACCTTTTCAATAAGGAAACTCCACCCAAACACTGCATAGAAAAAAAGCTCTGATCTTTGATGTGCGATTGTTTCACAATTAATTTCATGGCTGAGGTTAAAATCCCTAAATTAGTGGCCTGCTTTTCCCTTTAGTGTTGTATTCCAATGAAATGGCACTGGAGCTACTAGATTTTATGCTGCTTGTTTCTAGGACATCATTTATGGACAGCGAGATTTATTCAGTGGGATCAAATATCCTGTGAGATAGACTGGCAAGAATGTAGATACACCCTGATCTTTCAAAGAAGTGGTAGCATCTGTTCTGCAGCTTCAATGTTTCAAACTAGGCTACAGTTTTGACCGCCGTACAAATTAATAACATTATGATGAGAAGTGCATTTAAAGCTCGCATTCTGAAAAGAGATGCTTGGGAATCACTGTTACTTAATAACTCTCTGCTTAGCCTGGTTCCTTTCCTGTTGTGTGGCTGCAAGTGTTTCTTCTTGCTGCAGTGAAGCAAGGTTATGACAGCAGAATCTTACAGTTCAGTGCAGGACAGGCTAACACACACTTATGACTGACCTTGTCCTTTATTTATTGCAAGACACCGATTTTCTTCCTCCCATTTCCATGCTGTTTTCTTGCTAGCTCTCCTGAGTGCTGGATTGTCTGCTCCTTGTCCTCCAACTGGAAAGCCTGGCACTTTTATAGGTGTTTCCTAAGTTTTTCTGGTGCCTGGAGAGCATCCTTCTGTCACCAGCACTACTTTTTTGCATTTTTCAGTTCACAGTTTCTTATGCAGGCCAAATGGCATATTTGTAACAAAACAAAGCCATAGCTAGGCTTTGTGCAATGTGCTAACAGCTCCCCTACACACAAGCACACTGCTGGAGCAGTAAGCCCACAAGCTGTGGAGTAACTCCAGAACAGCATGAGTAACAAGCTGCTTCACTCTTCTGCATCACCTTCACCTTTTATTGATATGCCTTTCTACTTAACTGTGTCAGAAAGTTATGGCTTAGACAAAGTTTAAATAAACATTCATGAATTCAGTGTTTAATTCACCGATTTGCAGACTAGGAGGGACAAATTTAATGAATTCAGCATAAGTCATGTTGTGAAGAAAGTAATTTTTTTTAATCAATAAATGTTTATTTATACAGAATGGAACAGCTGCAAAAGAAGAAACTGCCAGAAAGTTAGAGATATAACAAAGCTGTGACTTAGTAGGTAGGGATCTTCTGATTGCATGAGCAGGCATCCAGCTTGGGACTGTTTAATAGGCTGATGAGGTCGCTGTACTTCTTACTGCAAACCACTTTTCAAAGTTTACTTTTAGAGCAGTGTAAAAACAAATGCATTAATCTCACCAGCTTTCCAGGGCTTGTTTTCTGGCCAGTACTACTTTTGTTTCCTGGCCAGTGCTAATTATTATGCTACTTACACATTTTGGAGCAAAGTACCCAGCAGGCTGCCCTCCCACTGTGGTGGTCAAGGAAACAAAGTTGATATAAAGGTGTGCTGTGCAGGCTCAAGGTTGTGTAAATTGCAAAGTTTATCCTGAAAGAACTACAGGGGGTAGATGTGCCACTTGGAAGAGATCAATGTGAACATAAAACAGGAAACCTGAAAAACAAGCCATATGCTTTTGTATATGTGTGTTTAAATATTTGTCCAGGAGTAGATGCCGTATCTTCCAAGTCTATGAGTTATTCTTACTGTCTTTAGATTCTTTTTGTATGATACATGCCATACGGTTTACCAGTAATTATTGTCCTTTTTTGTATTATTCCAGCAGCTCCTATTTTATTCAACCCCATGCTTTTGGGTAGTGGTGACAAAAGTCAAGATGACAGCCAAGAGACTTCACTCAGCTTTGTGGAAATATCAGCTCTGAGTTTTCTAGCACCTTTCATTAAAATACAGGTTTTCCTCGTCAAATGGTCACAAGTAAAGGACTAATTACCTTAGTACCTGTTACTTAAAGAAGTGTGTATTATCAAATATAATTTCCCACTTCTTTTCCCTTTTATAAAACTTCTAACATTGTCATGTTTCACCCATATTCTGCTAAAAGTATGAAGTAACTCATCTGAACTGAGGATCAGATTCACTTTTGCTGCAGGTGGCAGGAAATAGCAGAAGGCAGATGATGAGGGGCTGCCCAGACGAGGTGGATACTCTGGCACAGTGTGAGGGCCAGGTATGTGCTGTGCTCCAAGGCTCTAGTTTCTGGGCCCCTCTGGCTGCCAGCCTGCACTTGAGCGGCGCTGCTGCAGGGGAGACAGAGTCTCCTCTGAACTTGCCTTTGTAATTCCCAGAGACATACAGGAATTCGGCTACCTCAAGAATCAGCAGATAATAATTTTCACCTTTTAAATAAAATGGCAAGTAAATTTAGACTGGGCAGAAACTGGAATTAGGAAAAACCTGAAAATTAGAACAACACTTGTCAGCTGCTTGAGCCACCCTAACATTTGTCTAAACTAAGATGCTGTGCCTTGCCATAGTGAGCTATTTTAAGCCAAACCTTTTGGCTCCACTAAGAGCACCGTTCTTCCAATTTACACTGTCTGCTGTTAAAGGAGAATACAGCAGAATTATTTCTAACAAATTATAAAGAAAACTATCATAGAAGTTAGCTTTCTTTGAACAACTAAGTGTAACACAGCTTCTTGAGATTGAAGTGGATGTTTCACTACATTTGAGATGGCTGATTGGAAACACGGTCATGTCAGCTGAATATCTCACCAGGCCAATATGACAAAAATAAACACCAGCAGTATTAAAAGGGCAGAGAGGTAAACAAGTTGTCCTTGCTTTATTCGCATTAATTCTTACTCCAGAGCACTCAACAGTTTGCATTTAAGAACAGGTAGAGCAGACAAGAGCAGATGTATTTGTGTTCATGCACATACATGCTGATAAAATGAATTATTCTGAATTACAGTTCTGTTTTTGTCAGATACAATGGGAACACATGCAGCAGGAACAAAATAGGTTAACAGAAGGGATGTTCATTTCCTTGCAGTAATTGAGAATGCGACACAGTTGAGTCTACAAGTGATCCAAAAAATGGGCAATGATAGGAAATATTGAATTAGTATCAGTAGCTTCCACAGGTTTGTCTGCATAAATGCAAAGCACCCTGTGATGCCATGGTACGTGATACTGTCATTTGCCATGAGTAGTTGAGTATTAACAGATCTATTCCAAATAGTGGCATCAAACTAGATTCAAAATGAAGTGATAGATATGATGTCTTCATATGAATATTGACCCCTTAAAACATTTTCCCCCTTGAAATGCAGTTTCAGACAGCTGTATTTCCAGCACTGCAAGTACAAAGTATGGATGACTGAACATTTTGAATCTGTATTTGAACCACCCTGTTGAACATCAGCAGGCATTCAGACATTATGATTTCTCAGAATGTGCCACAGCTTTTATATGAGGCATTGTTAGTCAGAGCATTTACCAAGTCTTAAGCACTATGCACCTAGTGTGTAGCTGTAGAAATAGATGAGAGATAAGGGATTTTCTTGCTTGCAATTTTTTGCTAACATCTCTCCCTTCCCCAGAGAGTAACAAATGACCTCATTGTTTCTTGATTTGCTAACATTCCTGCCCTGCTGCTTCAGAGATGCTGGCTACACTGTTCTTTCACATTAATTAAAACAATTACATTTAACTCAGAAGAAGAGATCCATACTCAGCTTGAAATTTGCTGTGTTTAAGATCTGAGGAAGCCTATGCATCTAAAACTTTGCCTTCTTTTCCAGCCATATTTGCTGGTTTGCTAAAAATCTCTACAGATGTTCCCAAGCTTTTCCAACACGTTTAAGGCACTTTATTCAAAAGATATTGGAAATAAATAACTGCTGTCTTTGCTGCTGAGTTGATGTAGTGGGAAAGAGTGCAAGAATATTAGAAATGAGAAAACAGTGCAAGATGTTTCTGAGTATGTTAGTCTTGACATAAGTCCACTGAACAAAGGTAGATTCTTGTCTGAATTTGAAATGTTATAAATCTACTCCCTCACATCATGGCAGATGACATGTGGAGCCTTCTAGACCTGGTGATGCTGGCCATATTGCTGTTACGCTGTGGCCAGGAAATAGCCAGCTGAGGAACAGCTGTGTGGATACTTTCAACTGGAAGCATTTGAGAGTATAATACAGCATGTAAGAATGTGTGCCTTGCATATCCTGTAACTATTACATCCATATAATAGTTTCAGTTAAGTTTGGTTCAAACACTACTAAGGAAAATGAGTTTAATTTTTCCCACTATCTCACCTATTATGTTTTCTGTCAGGTAAGTTATCGTAAGTTCTCCCATTTGAAATCCTATTTCCTGCTCCCATTTACCCTCCTACGGGGCATTGTTTTGTTTTCCTTTCTGAAATACATGAATAGAGAGAAAGCATTATTCTCAGTTTCATTCTAGAGAATTTGGATAATAGGAGATAGTAAAGGAGTTCTTCTGTACAAAAAAAGGAAAAGATAGGTGAGGCTTTCTAGCAGCAGTAGAATTTTTTTGTACTATTAGTAGTTGAAATCTGGGTAGAAGTATGCAGGATTTTAACATGCATGTTTGCCAGTCCCAGAACTTGGGTGAAATTGTGGTTAGAAATTAATTAAAGTCAGCCAAGTCAAGAGAGGATTTGGATTCAGTCTATTCACTTAGTGCACTAAAGCAGATCTAAACAAAAAGCCTACAAAAGAAACAAACATGAGCTTGTTCCAGCTGCTTCCTCTGGCTGAAGATATAGGTCTTCTTTGTGCTGCTGGTGCAGATCTAAAGAAAAGAAAACAAACAGGATGTTCACAGCACAAGGCTGAGCTAGGATTCTTTTAAATAGCAGAGGTTTGTTGCCAAGGGTGAAGTTTGCAGTCCAAGTACTAACCCAGAAGATTCTTTGTAAACTTGACACCAGGTTCCCTTCAGCTGTCATGATTTTATAAACAGATTTACCTGCGTGCAGAGCCTTGGGAACACTTCCTTCTACCTTGTCTGTCCATACTACCTGCACCTTCTTTTATCTCCATATCCATGTACCATCTCTGGCTTACAATTGAGACAGTATAGAGCTCTTCTAGGTGGCAGTAGTTCTGAAGGTCTATATTTTTAGAGTCTTCGTACAGTACCCAGGTCTATTTCCAAGACACACTGACATTGCAAAAACGTAAGTAATAAATATCACTACTAATTGCTGGCACTGGGCTGCCTTTCTGCTTATGTTTGTAATACATCTCTGCCACCTAGTGGGTAATTTTTTGATTACATGTTTTCTTCAAAATAGGTAACAAAGCTCAAAAATTTTGGCTCAGGAGAAACACAGTTCAAATTTGGACAGGTGTTAAGTTCACACTCAAGAAGCCCCACGTGGATCACAGCACCTTTAAAGCCATTCCTCTGCTACCCTGACCCAGCCCTCTCCTTTGCAATGCTGAGGTAACAGGAACTGTGATCACAAAAAAGTCACTTGCATAACTGATGGCTTTGAGCTGGAGACATTAATCTCCAGAAGATAAGAAACAAGGTATGAGGATTGTAACAGCAAACAGCCATACTGGCAGGGGATGCAGCAGAGCCTGCATGCCTACCCTCAGTATTTATTACTGTATTAAAATGTCATGCATGTACACTAAGTACACAAAATGCAAAGGAAGACTTTTCTTAATGAATATCATAGAATGGCTTGGGTTACAAAAGGACCTTAAAGATCATCCAGTTCCAACTCCTTTGTCATGGGCAGGGACATGTCTCACTAGACCGGGCAGGCCAGGGCCCCATCCAGTCTGGGCCTGAACAGCTTCAGGGATGGGGCACTCACAGCTTCTCCAAGCAGCCTGTGCCAGCGCCGCAGCCCCCTCGTGGTGAAGAATTTCTAACACTTAACCTAAATCTCTCCTCATTTAGTTTAAATCTGTTACCTTTTGTCCTATCACTACATGTCCTTGCAAAAAAGTCTTTCTCCATCTTTCCTGTAAGCCTCCTATACATAAATACTGGAAGGCTGCAATGAGGTCTTCCCGGAGCCTTCTCTTTTCCAGGCTGAACAACTTTGATTCTCTCAGCCTCTCTTCATAGGAGAGGTACTCCAGCCCTCTGATCATCTCTGTGGCCTCCTCTGGACCTGCTTTAACAGGTCCATGTCCTTCCTTTGCTGGGATATATGCTGTTAATAATAATACCATTAATGACCAAACTGTCCCCATGCCAGTTAGTGGACCATCACAGAGGAAGAATTCATCTACAGAGAAAACAGATCTATAAGATAAACATCAAATAATTTATAAAATATCTGCATAAGGGTTCTTTTTGAAAGGGTGGCCTATTTTAATGGAGATGTTATTTTTACAGAGAAGTAAGTATTCATTTGTGTTAAGTATTTTGGCTACTAAAATTTCTGGGATAGGCAACAATATTTAGCATGCAGATTGGGAAGCTCTGTCTTGATCAGGGATAGCATAGATTTGAAGTGCATTAAGCCTATTGCATTGCCATGCACATAAGAGGGAATAGAAAGCTCAGGAAGAAAAGAAGCAAGGAAACTTTTCCTGAGGATAATCATTGAGTTCTTTAGTAATTACTTCAAGAGAGTATGAAACTGGTGCTTAAGATATTGGTGCTAGTGATTATGTTCATTTTAGTACCAACAAGGATGGATGGGAAGAGGTCGCTGCTGCCCTGCAAACAGTATGTGGTACTGCAGAAATTGTATGCTCATCCCTTAATTGAAAAGAAGACAACAAAAAGGTTTCCAAAAGCCTTCACATCCAGATTTCCTCAGCTGAGGAATGCAACTCAATGACAAACCCTTGAGACAAATGGATTAAAACCTAAGTGGAGAGAATAGTTTTCTGTTAAGAGTTCACAATATTGTATTTTATAAAGTCCTGTAAAACCCTTTTCTCCAGTTTGTGAATATCATCACCGTGTTCACAGCTGTGATTTTGCATGGAACAACTGGATTTTCCTTTGACATATATGAGCAAAACCTTATAATTCACTGGCAGAACAAGGAAACCATATTTTAATCAACTCTTCAAGTGGTATCCAATAATAAATAAATGCCTCAAGAAGTCAGGAGCAGTTTGTTTCTAATATCTAGTAACTGAAAGGATTCTAGAGCTATCAGTCATTTCTAAAATCCCACTGTTTTCATTGTACATTTTTGGGTGGGTGCTGGGACATAATTTTGATGTAAGAATAAATGTTGCCAAGTGATGAGTGACCAGAACAAACAGAGTACTCATTTTCTCTGTAAGGGTGTATTAAAAATTGAACATACGCTATGAACGCTATGAACACACCTCCTTTGTTGTACTAAGTGAGGTATTACTGCCGCACAGTCTCAGTTCAGAGGCAGGCAGAATGCATCCAAAACTGCATGTAGGAGTTGTGTGCTGGCATATCCAGGGGGAGCAAATTTGGCTACTGACAGCAGAAGTTATTGCAGCATTACATGGGTTTTAACATACAAAATATTTGTAGGTGTCTGAATTAGGGCAGGAAGGGCAGTAGAAGATAGAATGTGGACAAATGTATGGATTGTGAATAAAAATAATAAAACTAGAGAACAACTTCACATTTGTGTATCCTTCAACTTTCCAAACTATGAGGTAACTTTCATATTCAGATGATCAAATATTTTATACATGAAACAACATATAGCTTAAAAGACAAATTAAAACAACCATATTTCAAGTAAAATTAACTGAAATAAAATATAAATTAATTTACTTCTCTTTATGCAGTAAAGAACAATACTGATTGGAAGGAAAACAAAACACATTAAGGGAGTGATACTTGCTCAGTAAAAAATGTGTATTTTGGATGTAATGTGCATTCTCTGCAAATAACCTACTGGACAAAAGTAAATATATTAAAATGTAGAAATTGAATTTGCATATAAAATGGAAGATAAAAGATCTTCCTCAAAATTTGGAACTGAAAGTTCCAGTAGTTGGAGAAATGTTCTCTAGTTCTATTGCCATTATGTCATTATTTTATTACTTATGCATATTAACAAAAATAATTCAAGATTTGGAATAGCTTTTGCATTAGAACACTCATGTTTACAAATTTCATTCATACCATCAGACAATGATTGTGTGATTAAAGAGAACTAATTTACACCTAATTTACCATAGCAGGGACTCGCTGACAATTGTGCACAATTTGTAGACACAAATCTTTTACTCAATATACAATAAGTAATAAACCTAGGAATAATGCACATTGCTTATGGATTACATATATATGATTGAGATGGAATGTTAATTGTTGGCTTCTGCATTTTTCACATGGTTATAATGACACCAAGGATGGACTGAGCTTCTTTTACTTACGATGAAAGGGTACACTTGGAATGGTCAGGACTGTCCAAGCAGAGTAAGAACATTACGGGCCTGTGAAGAGATGGTTTTATTTTACATTTCAGATTGAAAACTAAGGAAAACTAATGAAGAAACCAAACAAACTCAACAGCACTACCATGTCTGAAGATTCCCTACAACGATACTCTGAACAGGAGCTATAAATATTATTGTTAATAAATAGTAATTCTACAGATGTTCAACAGATTTAAACTACTGCTTAGATTTTCAGTCCAAATAAACATTTTACAGCAAACTGGAATATGAGGCCATCTTCTGTGTCTAAACCTGGATAAGTACAATGTTCCATTTAATTGTGCAATCATACATAAGATGTAGTACTTTGCTTAATTCATTGCTCGAAAATGCCAAGTCTAAAAAATGTGGTATCAGCTCTCTAAGACACAAGTTTCTTACTGGAGTCACAACTTCAGAGGCACTTAGATATCTGAAGCGAAACAATAATTTAAAGTAGATCAGTTAGATCAGTTGCTTCTGCAAATGCACTGCATTTATGAAGGATTTTTACTTACTTGTAATTGTCAGTGCAGGTGACATCATAACCAAGGTCTTTCAGCCTGTCTTCTAATATCTGTACAGTATTATATCCACAGGAATCTCTGTCAGAAAGAAGTTGAATATTATTGCAATTATTTTATTTTCTATTTTCCCTTTGAACTATTATCTAGTTCCCACTGAACTTGATGGAATTAGTAAAGTAAATCCCCATTATTTGTCTTTTCTGTATTCCTTAAAACACAGAGAAAACTGATGCAGATTGCTATTTATAATCCTTCATTTGCTTACAGATGTTTAGTATTTTACACACTCAGTTTGCACAGACTGAAGATTGGCTGTGTAGCATTTGCAGATTCTATTAACCAGAAATCTTTCAGATTCCATCTATAGAAACAGGAAAAGAGACAGTTTTGTAGAATACTAAATAAGGCTTTCATTTTTAATACTCTTTGGCAGGTATTCAGTTGATGATAAAGTTGATGGTGTCTTTACAGAACAAACTGGATGTAATAAATTAGAATTATTCTTGTAGTTAAAAGCTTGCCTCCCTTCTTGAATACAATGCTAAAACATGAGAACACAGAAAAATTCAGGAATAATCCTAACCACAGTTTTTGTGCCTAGTGTTTATTTTTTTTTTTTTATTTGGTCCAATCCACAAAGAAAGCTTGGCATAGCAATGAACCTACTGAGATCTCTAAAACTTGTATCACTGTCAAGTAGTAAGGCCACTATTACTTACCCATTAGTCAGTACTCATGACTCTAAAGAAATTATATGGTATCAACAAACTCACTTTAATAAAGTATACAAATATCCCCATGCATCCAGCTGAACACAAACTGAAATATAAACTCAGTATAAATTCAGTGTGTGTTCTAATTCTTCTTTGTGATAAGGGCTACTTCTGCAAAGGTGAACTATACTTTTTTTCCAGATATGATTCCTTGGTTTTAAAAGAAAGGCTCAGAAATGCTAACATAAAACATGCTTATACTTGCTTCTCTTGTCATAGATTTCATAGAACTACAAATATGTGCTCTGGGATGGCAACAGCAAAATGTAATGAAAGAGAAGCAAATGGAAGGAGATGAGATGTGAAAGAGAAGGATAAAAAATGGATAGTTTCAAGAAGAGCATCCTCAGACTCCAAAGAATCCATGTGACATCAGGGATTTAACTGCTATGGTGACATCTGAGGCTGTTTTTCTTGTCCCTTTCAGCCAGGGCACTTTTAAGACCAACTAAGAGCTACCACAGAATCACAGAATCAATCACAGAATCACAGGGGTTGGAAGAGACCTCAAGAGATCATTGAATCTAACCTCCCTATTAAAGCAGGCACCCTAATATAGGTTGCACAGGTAGGCATCCAGATGGGTCTTTAATATCTCCACAGAAGGAGATACGATATAGTAAATTGCAGGGACTGTGGAGATGGTTGGAATAAAGCTTACTTCTTCTACTCCTCTACCTTTGATTCATCTATGCTTGATTCTCTCTCATAGTGAGAGAACTTTTCACCACAGAATTTATAATGAATAGACACTTAATCTTTCCTTTACCAAGGCCTATCACCTTGCATAACAATTATGTTACCTACAGAGTCCATTTTCTACGTGTTTCTACTGAAAATCTTTACTTTGTCTCTGATTATTCTTTTTAGACTGTTTTGTTTGTCTGTTTGTTTTTAAATAAAATTAACAACAGAATGAGATTTGTTAAAGCTTACTTTTTATTCTTGGATTGATTTTAAGTTCTGAAAGAAGATAAGCCCAATTGTGGTATTTCCACACTTCTATTAATTTCCAGAACAGTTAAAATAAGTGAAAAAGAAAATAATGTATTTGGAAAGGCAAAAGCAATACTTCACATCAGCATTTAATCTGAAATTCAGTTTGATCCTTTTCCTAGTAAAACAGCATGTGCTATATCATCACTTAAGGTCCACATAAACATATCTCAAACTAAGTGGACATCAGAACTAACATTAGAATTTATTTTTATTTTGTCTACTTCTGGTATTTATACAATAAATACCAGTATTTATACTGGTATATATACTCTTTGGGAATGCCAGCTAGTGCCTCCTGTGTTAGCAAAAGCATCTAGAATATTTTTAGTTTAATTGCTGAGCAACTGTAGTAAAAGTGAAGGCTAAGGTTAAATTTTAAAGACAGGCTTAAAAAGAAAGAATGATTTTTGTAGGAAGATACAGCTTACATATTTGGTCCTTCAATATCATCCACAACCCAGATGTCTATTTGCGAGATCTTGTCTCTCTGGAGATAAGGGATTTCATAATCTGCAAAAAAACTGATTTGAGAAACATTTTTTTAGAACTATGTGGAAAAAAATCCCTCTGCAAAAATCAAACCTCTGATCCTGCTGTGGGATATGGGCTTGCTTGCTTTTAGATTTGTATCTTATGATCAGACTCAACAGAGTTGAAAAAATCTGATTCATGTTATGAACGTGCACAAAGTGAAACACATTTAATCTGAAGTTTTGTTTTTATATTCTTCATCTTTGAAAGGCTTAACTAAAGAAAGTTATGACTTAGAGGTGAATTAGAGTGAAGTGAACTTTAAAATGCAAACACAAAACAAAGAACATTTGATTTTTAGCCAACAAAGGATTCTTCTTGTAGTTACCACATTTAGACTGAATACAATTTTGTTTTAAATAAAATTTAACTGCAGCCACAAGACACATAGATTTTCAGATACGATACCATGGCAGTAGCGATGATAGATTTGATCTAAGAATTCATAAGACCATACAGGAGAAACTTCTAGCTGTGTTTATCCCTGGCCCAGAATGAATTTTCTACTTTATTGCCTCATGTAATTTTACTTTGCTAGGCAATTATCAGTTAAAACAGGACAATAACATGGAAACTAAATCCTCTGACATCAAATAGAAAATGCCAAATTCAACAGATTGTTTTAATGTCTGCTTTTTTTTTTTTTTGGGTGCAGGTATTTTAAAGCCACAGATTTCTAACACTCCAGCAAAGATGTCATGTTTTCCGACCTTATCTTTGTGCTCCCACCTCCCATAACAAAGCCTGTAATGGCTGTGTCTTCATTTAATGTCTGATCCAAGCCCCAGCCCATGTGTGTGATCTGATTTGCCTGTCGTGAGTTTTCTAAATTTCTTCATCTGAGCAAGCAGCTGCTGCTTTGAGAGGAATCACAAGGCTTGGGATGGTTACTGAAGTCTGCTTGTACCCAGCTGAGACCTCCCCATTAAGTTAACATGTTAATTTAAACTTCTGGAGAAGTGGAAGCTATTATTAACAGTTACCATCTCCAGACAAGTCTGGTATGGCTGCGACTGACCAGAGATCTCTAGTGGCAATAGTAGATTTGCCTGTCCAAAGTGTTCAAGCCTGTCTAAAATAGTGAAAGTATAACCAAAAAACAGGATTTGGGTTATTTTTTAACTCTTTTGCCTGTTCATGCATATATGATCAGGAAAAATGCATATTCCTCCAAAACTTAATGGGATCTTTAACGAGAGGAACCAGAAGCCCAGGAAGAACAATGTAAAACAGACTTCAGTAAACCAGTTGTTTAAACATGCGGCAGAACCACTGGTTGGACTTTTTCTTTGCAGACATCAGACCTTCAACACATTATTTTGTGTTCACACACAGTTTTCTTACCCTTTGATTGGATAAGCTCCTCCTTCTGCCGAACCATTCAACAAGACATGTATCACCCCAGAACTGTGTTGTGCATACTGCAATACATAACAGAATATTTCTTTCCCAGAATTCATTTTACAGATTTTTTCTATGACTTGGTATTGTCTTGCATGTAATGATGACCAAGAAGAAAATTTTACCAGAGCAGTATCAGAATTGTGAAAATAATGTCAAACTGCCTGCTCATTCCAGTAAAGCTGACAAGAATTATACAGCCAATGCATGAATTCAATCTATCTTCTCAAATTATTTTCTCAAACCTATAAACAACTTCTTCAGGTCATGAACGGAACACTCCTGATCTGAATTTTGGCACTCCGTGGGCTTGATCTGTCCTAGTCTCCTAAAGTCCCTAGTGTGCTTGTTGTGCTTAGCATATTCTTAGTATGTATTAACACAGCTAACATAGAATTTGACCATGTTAGCTAGATAGGATGAAAGTCAGGCTCCCCCTGCTAAACACCATTCCCAGCCTAGAAAAGCCTATTTGTACCTGAGGAAATAATTTAGCACAGTATGAGACTTAAATCTGTTTTGACCCAGCAATGCTTTCCTAAACCACCAGGGATGTGCTCACTAATGTACAAAGTGTGTGTTAATGCACTATTTACAGTCATCGAAGCCATCCTCCAGAAAGCATCCACTGCATTGTTTTCACATTCTGCTGCAGTAGGGCAGGATTCATAGTCCAGTCCTGTCAGGAAGCATGTGATATGTACTGTTAAAGACATAATAATGACTACAAAAAGTGACGTCAGAAAGCAACTACACACAAGATAGTCTGACATGACACAGGAAACTGTTAACTGCTTTATTTTTTTCTTAGCATTTTCCATTCTCTGCAGTTAACATTATCAGTGACATGCTGTGGACTTAATAATTTGGCTGAAATGGCTATAACTCCATACCTGGGATGCAGACAGCTCTACATTCCACGGTTTATCTCCTGTGCAGTATTGTTTCACTGTGTGCTTCTCTTAAGTATTCACACGAAACAGGAGAGAAGACAGTGGAGCTATCCGATTTTTAATTTTTAAGCAAAATTAAAACCTCCAAAACACAGCAGTCTGTCTCCATTATAGTTTTACAGGCAAGTGTATAATATAGCACTCATTGTCTTCTTACCAGTGCTGTTTTCCTGCCCACACCAGTTTAGAAAATCTCCAAAGAAGCCAAACAGAGTATCACCAAGAGTCATGTAGCGACGAGCTCTGTCTGAAAAGCTGTTGACTAGCAGCTGATTATTTTCCCAGAAGAGAGACTAAATTAAAAAGGAAAACAAGATACAGAAGAAATGAACCATCGCTTGGGTGCAGACACAACGAGTTTCTGTGGTACTGAAAACATTTTAAAATATATTTTGGTATTTGTTTCAGAATCAAGCTAAGAATCAGGAATGTTAGCTATCTATTTATAGGAACAAACTTAATTCTTACAGTGGTGGTAATTCTGATCACTAGAGGCTTCAGGGGTGTTTCTACCATACTCAGACTGGAAGCATATCTATACTAAATATAATGAGGCCTAGCTTTGCTTTCTTCATTGAATATTTAGGGAAAGAAAGAAAGAGGAGGTATTCATAAGCCAGATACAGCTTAGGGAATTCTCTAATATTTCTCAGCTGGTTTATGGTGTGAGAAAAAATTGTATGTTACACTGTTACTCTCATGTTTGCAAAATGCTCTCATTAATGAATCTACATAGTCAGTAGCATTTATAGGTTTAGCTTGTATCACCTAGAAATAAGGAACAATTGTGTCAGCAGAAAAACTGCTTTGTACTACTACCTTTTAGAGAAGGCTAGAATACACATTTTGATGGGATACTACAGCACCCTATCTCATTTCTGTTTATATGTGTTTAACATGTTTAACATGTCAGAGTTGAACATTCAGCACCCTGGGACTTGGTGTGTAAGGAGAAGGAACAGACACAGCCATTGCAGGCAGAGCATCTAGCCTGAGGTAAAGTAGCTGTGCAAGGTCAGGGTCTGCAGCAGAACTACTGGCACAGAAGGAAAAACAGGAGACATTTGTAGCATGGAAAAGGAGTAACACAGATAAGTAAGACACAAAAATCCCAGGCTTTCACTGCAAAAACAGTGAGGAAGAGGAAATGTTAACATAATCAACCACTGTAGACACAGGGAGCAACTGGCACAGGAGAAGGCAGAGACAAAGGACACCCAGAACCGCTGGGGACAGGACTGATAGGGGGATCGAGGTCTCCTGCATGGGGGAAGGGAATTGTAAGCTAGTACAGAGAAATATGAAGATTACTGCTTAAGTTACTTTTTACTGCTTACAAGAAATGCAGATAAATGCACTGCACTCAGCTCCAGTTTAATTTATAAGCTGCAGATGGGCCAAAATAATGAATTATCAGCCACAGAATGACTTTTAGTCGGTTGTGAATGACTGTGATGGGAAATCTGCTAGATATACTGGACTGTTATCAAAATATTAATAATGATTACCTTGCCAGCAGGAATTGCATGCAATGACAGTTTGAAAAATAATTCAAAGTCTTGAGGTAGAATGTTGCAAGGATCCTTGTTAATAAAAGCATTTCTAAAGGCTTCCCATAACTCCGAACAGTTCTTCTCACTGCAATTGTCAAAACAAATAGCAGAACTGGTTTGTTTTTTTTTCCAAAGCAGAACAAGAAAGTGATTTGTTCCCCATCTCTTTCAATCTACAAAGTAAATCCCTCACAAGATTAACACAGAAAATTTGCAACCAAGGAAGAGCATGTATCTCATTTTTCTCCTCCTTACTGCAGCACCTCTCCAAAGAAATTATGCAGAAGTGAAATGCAATAAAAATAGTTGGATTTACAGTGTGGAATTAGACATACATACATTTCATAAAATATAAAGTATTCACAATAAGCTCTGCTATCCAGCTTGGTAGAAAGGCTAAAAGAACCAAACAGCTTTCTCAGAAATCTTAGAGATTCAAAAAGCCACTTCTCTTAAAGTACAGCTAAATATGCAAAGCTACTGAATGTAAAAATTACTCTTCAAATGTCAGATTCAAGTGCAGGAGGAGTTACTAACAGTTTTGATGACAGAAAAATAGTTTCAACAAAGAACACCTTCAGTGTAAGCAGACTCGAGGATGATGCAGCTTTAACTTCTGGAATGAGCACAGTGGATGTGCGGGGCATGTACTGTCACTGTGCAGTAGCTGCAAGAGTACTGTTAGCATTCAGCATTTAAACTGCTCACGAAGAGGTGGGCTGAAAAAAGACGCAAGGTTGTGCATTTAGTTCCCTTCTGCCTGCTCTGCTTTGGGGCAGTAAGCTCTTGCAGGACAGGGCCAGCCATCCAGGGATGGAAGCATCCTAAATCTCTGGATTTTCATGAGCTCGTCTGTGAAAGCTCTGAACCTGCCTGAAGTAATTAAAAAGTGAATTGCTGCTTTCATCACTTTCCCATGGTACCTTCCCCACTTACGCTGTGACAATGTTTATGCTGGGAACACTCTGCTCAACAGAAAGATGTATTTTACATGCATCAAGCATCCCCAATGTGAGTGGCTGTAATTACGAAGCTTGAATAAAAGTAGTCTCTAAAACTAAACTAAACTTAGCCATTTGAGTGTTTAGTTCATTTAATGTTATGCATATGCAGCAGGGTTTCTGTTGGTGCTTCTTCTCATAAGCAGCTGCTTTGAGATGCAGAGATCCCAGATTATTTAAAGTTAGAGGACCCAGCTTCCATGCAGGAAAAAGAAACTTTGGTCCCATGCAAAGAACTGGTCATGCTTCCAACATCTTTTTAAAAACTAACATACTTTAAGCAAATATGAGACCTTGACCTGAAAATCTTCAATGATGCAATATGACCCTTGGTCAGTGGTTCCAATGATTAAACAGCTTACTTGATAAAAGGATTTGCACCCTATTTCTAATTTCAAGCTGTTAAACTTTAGCTCCTGACAACTGTATATTTATGTCTTGTTTTGCAGATGAGGTGTGTGCTGTCAGCCCTCACTCTTCATGTTAGTGCTTGTAAATTATCATCAGCTGAACTCTTAACATCTTTCTTGACAGTTGAAACTAGCAGTAATTTTCTGCTTAATTCACTTGCATTTTTCACTTCATGTCTTCTCATCTCAGGTTTGAACAGCTTGTAAATCAAAAGGATTATTCTTTTCTGTTAACTCAGAATTTCTTAGTTGGCAAAAATACTTCATAAACAACAGAGTGGGGAAGGACTTAGTTCAGGACAGTTCTTCTCAATCTTAATAGACAAAAATAAGCTGTATTACATTTAATTCATAATACTTTTTTTTCCCCAAAAGCTTTCATGACATGCTATCTATACAAAAATACGGCAGTTAATGTAACACTTGTGTGTGTGTAATATAGCATACTCCCATTAAAAAACTTCAAATATGATTTTCATTCAAAATTCTCACTTCTGCTTTTGTAAAATACCTCTTTTGCAATTTTGTATGTTCTGTCTTATTGTAAGGTTCTTCTTGTGATTTTATAAACATTTTTATGTTTTAATTGTATTGCAGTGTAAAGACATGTTTTGCCAGATTCTCTTCTGTTAGTGAAGTATTTTTGAAAATTATTCTGAAGCAAAACCTATCCAGGTGGCTATGCCTCTGTAAAAGCTAGCCTGGGGGCAATTAAGAAGCAGGCAATGAACAAAAAGGATTATAAATAATTAGAATATCTGGCTTGCAGCTGTGCAATATGAAATTTCAATTTTGTTTATGTTATAGTATTTTCTTATAGACCTCAGGGAAAGAGAATAAAAATATAATATGAAATTATATGAAATAAATTGTGCAGCTGTTCTTTTTATACTGCCTGTTTGATCCTTAATTCAGGAAAGCAATGCTAACATCCAACCTTGCTTTATGCTGTTCAGATTAAGAATAATTTGATATGTTCAGACTCCTCAACTTTATACTGCAAAAATGTCACAAAACAGTAATATATAAATACTTTCTACTGTAGTTACATGGTAAAGCAAACATTTCCACAATAACCATCCTTTATGTTGCTCATTTTAGAGTATTCTGATATATTAGTAAAGTCCTGCTTCTGCTAGAAATGAAATGGCATCTCTTAACTGTCGCAATATAAGACTTGTCTAGTTACCTACACAACTTTTAATTAACATGATTTTTAGCTTATATTATGCTGTAGGTGTGTAGGAACATATAGATAAAGTTTACTGATGCTATCCACTGTGATGCATTTATACATTTGGCATGCTGGATCTGTTATGACAGAATTTAGTACTGAATTACCTGCATTAGGATGAGGTTTTATTTCCTATGGAACTTTAAAAAAAAAAAAAAAAAAAAAAAAAGGTTCTGATATGTTAAGAAAAATGTTGTTTTGCCTCTGTTAAATATCATAAATATCATAAGTCTGTTTTCAAGGCAAGTCCTGAATCTTCCTGTTTTGCAGGAGGAAATGAAAAAGCGAAGTTGGGGGAAGGTGGTGGTGGTGGTGATGGTGTTTGATAATATTTTGCAACTTATTGAATTCTATACAAAACCACAATTCAATACTGCAGAAATCCAGACAGCTTCCTTCTGCAAATACCTTCAAACTATCGGGAGCAATTTTGGACTGAATTCAAAGCGACTGTCCTTCAGAGATTTTTCCTTTTCACTAAGCCGAAACAATGTAAAGAAGAAAGAAAACATGGTCATTTTAAGCAAGGGTGTTTCCCCCAATTTTGTGCAATTGACATGGACAATGAAAACTCACAGGTAAAAGTACTTCACTGAGTTGATTACTACTTGATTTTTCTCCTGGAGTTAAGCAATTTACTTCAGTAGCATAGGATATCTGTAAAGTGTGGTCTGCACCCTGTTACTTGACGTGACCTACAATACACACAGAGTAATGCCGGTCTTTCCAGGAGATCTGATGCTTTAGAAACATTTCCACAACTTCTGTGCAGTGTTCTCTTTATAGAACACCCTTACTAGGGGAAAATAGTTGAAGCATTAAAAATACTGCTTATTTACACTACTGGTATTATTGCAACATCCATCAAAGTTCAATTTCTGTTTCCAGAAAGCTACACACATCGGTTTCAGCAGGATTACTTTCATGGCTAGAGTGAAACATCAAACTTTTGATTAATGACCAATTTGTACAGAAGACAAACACTATTCCAGAAACATGCAATAACTTACCCAACAGCAGGATTCACAACTCTAATATAGTCATAACACCTTCCAATGCTTATGCTTTCCAGGTTTTGTGTTGTACCTTCACCTTTCCATTTTCTTCCTTGCACTTCTGAAAAGTTGTTCATAAACAGAATAGAGCCTAGTAAGAAAGACAAAAAAAGGCTCTTCATCATGAATTCTCTACAATTCAAGCTCTTAAAAGAAAAAAAAAAAAAAGACAAAAACGACCAGATTAAATTATACAAGTTAAAGGGAAACCAATTAATATCTTCAGTAGTAGCTGTAACTCTGTACACAACTGACAAAGTTGGACAGAAACCTGAACCTTGCCGGACAATGTAATCTTACTGTTTCCTGAACTGACCGCAACCAGGGACACATCACTTCCTTCTATCTGAAAGTCCTCTACTTCAGGAAAATGAGACTTTTACGGTTCTGATGTTGCCACCTGGTGATAATTGGGAAGAATTACAATATAGTTTAATATTCAGTATACTTACTGTTCAGCATTTACAATGTAAGTATTTACAATACCTTAGGTTTGCTTAATTGCCATACTACAGATTCCTAGAACTCCACAAGTGCTTACAAGCAGCACATTCTAGAGCAGTCTCATTTAGTTTCAAGAAAGGGTTGCACTTTTTTCATGGATTAGGTAAAAATAAATGCTGAAATACATATGAAGAACAAAGAAATTGAAATACATAGGTGCTGATCTAATAATAAACCAAATTCTCATGTGATCTTTGGTCATGCATATGGATATCATTACTCAGTTCCTTTTCTGCCTCTCCACTGGGTACTGACAGTAAAATGTCGATGTGATGATGCGTGATTTACTGTCTTCTTTGTGAACAAAACCAGGCAGGATTATGACAGCCAGAAAGGCTTAAGGCACTTCTGTGCATAGAAGAAATATCTTCAACTTCTGTTTGCTTTTATTTTGCCTCCAAATTGTTTTCCCTCAAGAACTCTGTTAGATTGTCAAATGGTTCGAATTAATGCACTCCTCAGTGTAAATATTTCTCTCTTTAAAATAATTTATAATTTTTTCAACTTCAGAGAAATTTTTGTATGGATTCACATTTTTGAGAAACGCAGCCTTTCTTTCTGTTAAGCAGTTTCCACACCTCAGTGAATACAGGCATCTTCTTTATTTCTGTGTTTATTGATATCATGCTAGATATGTGCTGTATATCTGTACTATATGAATATACTAACATATATATACAACAGTACTCACATAATACATTATGCTGAAGGTAAAATCCTACTTTTCATCAAGTGAATTACTACTGATGCATTTATCCTGTAAGTGCGGCAACATGTTGGCTTATTATCTGCTGCAAATTCTTTAGGAAAGCCATATTTACCCAGTCATAGATGTGCAATATTGGGCTTAGCATGGTGGAGACACAGCAAATGCAGTCTCTCTAAAGGATGACCTATTGACAGGGCATTAGCACACTAATCACATGATTTCAAGTCTACTGCTTTGGGTTAGGATTAGACAGTGCAACCACCCACAGAAGTCAAGGAAAAAAAATTTAATATGGGCTTCACTTCAGACACATTTTGCCTAATTATTTTGGGAATAAGAGATACCTTAGGTATGACTGATGGGATCTTCTATATAGAAATGGGATTTCTGGCATCAAGACTACAACTACTGCTTAAAAATATGTACAGTGTAATTTTAAAAAATGGAGACAGAGTTTTGGAATTGCTTTTCTTACTGGACACGCCAGTTTAGGACTCATAAATTTCATGAAGAAAATGGGAAGATTTCTCGGTGATGTTCTGCAAAAAAAGGATGTTTTTCAGAATGCTGCACAAACTGACTGAACACGGCAAAGGGAATGTAAACGGGTACAGTAATTGCTGGGATCCCCACCTCATTGCTTGCCAAGCTTTCTGTCCTCATTGACCCCTTGGAAAAACACAACGTGGCTCTGATCTGACTTGGCAGAGCCACTTTACTTTGTATGTTCTTAGCTTTGATTTAAATCCTTCATGTGATGGCTGATCTAATAGGCCTCCAGGGTCATTGTTCCCATGGTTAGATAGCCTTAAGAGTCATACCTCTGGCCTGAACTTGTTTTCCTTCAGCTTCCAGTCACTGAATCTCATTATGTCTTCTTCTATTATGTTAATGAAAAATCCACCCTCAGAACTATATTCTCTCTGTGTAAACAGTTGTAGAAAATGACCAATTCTTCCATTAAACTTGTCCATGAAAAATGTAACATTTAAATCTCATCATCAGGCACTTTCTCAGGTACCATTGCACTTCAGTGCCATAAACTGTCTGTCCACTTTGCCCCCCAAGCTCCAGCAGTTCATAGTGGCTGTGGACCACCTGCTCTTTCCCTCTCTCCCAGAGAAGTCTGCCCATGAAGCAAGCAGTCATCAAAATTTGAAGCACATTTACACTGGAGATATTCTAGTTCACAAAGCAAATATTACTTCAGACTATCATGTTTATGTTCTGATAGCCTGGAAGATGAGGATGGACACGTTCTCTCTTGTTATTTCTGCAACATGTGAGCAGTCACTTCCAGCAGATGGAAGATTAACAGGTGGGAGCATTAATCCTCTGCTATTACTGAGGCATGAACTGCTGGCAGAAGAACCCCAATTCTGTGTGATCTCATGTTTTGGGCTTTGAAATATGACTTTGGAACTGCCCATATTAGCAAGCAACATATGCTTCACCAAACACTGTTTCTTGAGGGTTTGCACTTTTGGTTCATAAATTCAACCTGGAGCAGTAACCCCAAAGTTGGGGTTGCCCTGTGCCCCTGTATATCTTGCATAGATACTTCTCTATGCAAGAAATGTGCCTACCAGGTCCAAAAACAGATCTCTGTGTACTAGCCACAGAGAAATACAGCTGTGTGCTGGGTGGTTAGTTGTGTAATACCTCTGTTTTGCCTTCCTTTCCTTCTCTTGTGTAACTGCTATTTTCTCAGAGGCTTGCACAAGGCTAATCTTCCAAAATTTGTACACCTTTGTCGAATACGATTAAATAGGTCAACATGTTCAAAAGTTCTTGAAGCGGAAAGGATGAACGGAAAAGGCAACACCCAACAGTTGCTTACAGCAGTTGCTTAAGGATCATTTCCTCAGATAAAGAACAGAAGGGATTATCGCGTTGGGCGATCGAGATAACCCAGATCGCCTGTCCTCTCTTCTCCGTTCGTTATCTACTGATTTTACAATCGATGATTTCACACTCTGTTCCCAATAGCTGGCACGCTGACACGTACCGGGCTAAAACGCAGGCGTGCTTCCACCCAAGAGATTTCAACTTACTGACGGTTCATTGGTTCCATTAGCAGCTGCTGCTCGCTTGGCGCAGCCACGGCAGCCCGGCCGGGTCGCAGCGCGCTCCTCACACAGCGCGCCTCACCCGCCCACCCCCTCCTCCCTCACCTCAGACCTATTCATTTTTTAGGGGTGAGAAGCTAGCTTCGTTTCGTGTAAACGCGCAAGGATTTTTTATTTAACAGTAGATTTAAGACGCGCCGATTGCAGCACACGAGACGCCCGCCAGGCCCCCAGAGCTGCCCGCCACACGGCGCAGGCCGGCAGCACTCGGAGCCGCTCCCACGGCTCTGCTCAACCGCTCTGCACGCAGCAGCCTGGCTGGCAGCAAGGGCGCAGGCCGGCCGCGCTGCCCTCGAGCGGAGCTGGCGCCAGCCGGCCGCGCAGCCGAGCGACCGAGGAACTCGCTGCGCAGGGTGGAGACCGACCCGCCCCGAAGCGGGGTACGAGACGACGCCTCGCCTTCGAAGCAGCCGCCGCCTCCCACCGCGCGTGCGCGTAGCGCAGCCGCCAGCAACCGCGCCCGAACCACGCCGGAGCTGGCGGGGCGGCCACGGTCACGTGGCGCCGGGCCCGGCGGGGCGCCCTCCGCGCATGCGCGGGGCGGATGTTAGCACCGCCGTTAGCGCCGCCAGCGCCCGGGCTCTATGGGGAGAACATGGCTCCCTTCCCTGAGGAGGTGGACGTCTTCTCGGCTCCGCACTGGCGGATGAAGCAGCTCGTGGGGCTTTACTGCGACAAGGTAGAGAGCGGGCGGGCGGGCGGGCGGGCGGGGAGCGGCGGCGGCCTTCAGCCCGCTCCTTAGAGGGGCGAGGGCAGGTTGAGCGAGTGCGCAGCTGTCAGCGCGCCGGCCCCGCTGCGCCTGTGAGGGGGAGCGGCCGCGAGCTGCCCCGGGCTGCCCCTCCTGCGCGCCCCGCGGCGCCCGCCGCCTGCCGCGCTGCGGGCCGGGCCGTGCGGCTCGGAGGGGCCCGGCCGCGGGGCGGGGGCGGCGGGAGACAGCCGTGTGTGTGTGTGTGTGTGTATGTGTGTGCATGCGTGCATGAGCGCGCCCACCGGCAGCCTGCACGCAGCGCTTCGTTTCGATGGGTTTAATCCGTGCGTGGCTGAGGATGCCCGGGCAGCGCTGTGTGCGTGCTGCTGGTTTCGCTGCGCGCAAATAGCGAGTTCTGCGCTTGCATCAGGGCGGCTGGCAGCAGCCCGGTGCGTCACCTGCGAGGCGAACTTTGCGGCGCTGCGTGTAATGGGAGCTTCGGGCGGCGCTTGGGGGCCCGCGGTCCCGCCCGCAGGAGCGGTGACTCCGTCGCAGGCCGGCAGCTGCTCTGTGTGGTTTCAAGCGCCTGGTGGCGTTTGGGATGAAGGTGAGGCTACGTGGAGGCAGCCCGCTGCCGCACCGGGGCGGGCCGGCCTCGCCTCCTCCCGCAGCGCTCCGCGTGTGCCGCGCACGGCTTCCGTGCGGCCCTCCGGTGGGCTCCTTCGGTTCGCTGAGTGCCAGCAGCTTTCTGCTGTGCTGGTCGAGCTCCGCAGGAGGGCTGCGGGGAAGGCCGGGCGAGCAGTTCGACTTTGCCTTTTTACTCCGAGTGCCGTTGAGTTTTGTGGGGTTTTTTGTTTGTTTTATGTCTGCCTGAAAGTTTATGCTGCCTTACTGTAGGAGCTTTTAGACAAGGAAGCAGACACTCGATATACACATCAACACAGCAGAGTGCAAGGTTTTGCACTTGGACCAGAAGAATCCCAGGCATCCATACAGACTGGAAGGAGCGGTCCTTAAGAGCAGCCCTGCAGAGAAGGACCTTGGCTGTCTCGGTAGATGAAAAGCTTAACATGAGCCAGCTGTGTGCTCTTGCAGCTCGGAAAGCAAATGGTATCCTGGGCTCAATCAAAAGAGGGGTGGCCAGCAGGGATAGAGAGGTGATTGTTCCCCTCTACTCTGCCCTTGTGAGGCCCCATCTGGAGTACTGTGTCCACATCTGAAGCCCCCAGTACAAGAAAGACAGGGAGCTGTTGGAGAGGGTCTAGAGGAGGGCCACAAAGATGGTCAGGGGGCTGGAGCACCTCCCCTGTGAAGACAGGCTGAGGGAGCTGGGCTTGTTCAGCCTGGAGCAAAGAAGGCAACTAAGGGTGACCTCATTGCAGCCTTTCAGTACCTAAAGGGAGCCTATAAACAGGAGGGGAATCAACTCTTTGAAAGGGAAGATAATGGGAGGACAAGGGGAAATGGTTTTAAGTTGAGGGAGGGAAGGTTGGATGTCAGGGGGAAGTTCTTTACAGAGAGAGTGGAGAGGTGCTGGAACAGGCTGCCCAGAGAGGTTGTGGATGCCCTGTTCCTGGAGGTGTTCAAGGCCAGGTTGGATGGGGCCCTGGGCAGCCTGGTCTAGTATTAAATGTGGAGGTTGGTGGCCCTGCATGTGGCAGGGGGGTTGGAGCTTCATGGTCCTTGAGGTCCCTTCCAACCCTGACCATTCTGTGACACCTGGGATTCTTCTCCCCCACCCCTTGCCAGGGTGCAAACCACATTGCTGACAGGACTGCCCAATGTTGTAGTCATTTGCTGATATTCCTTGTTTTTTTTTTTTTTTTGTTCCCTTGACATGTATTTCTGTTGCTTTGAAGATTGCACAAAGTTGTGATCAAGTTTACCATGCTTTCCTAAAAGTAAAACTAAATGGGCAAGAAGGTTAGTTTTTAAGTACTAGCACATTGATTAAAACTGCCTAGTCTGTAACAAAGGTAATCTCGTTTTCTACTTCTTTTCATACAGGAGTGTGCTTGCTTGTTTCCTTTTTCTCTCAAAGAAGTGTAAGCATGAATGTGGATGAGGATTCATCTGGTAATTTATTTTAGAAGCATCAATTTTTGCATCCTTTAGCCTGTTTTGGAATGTGAAGCTATGCCTGGCCCATGACCCTGCTGTTTGAACTATATCTGTATCAGGAAAAAATCTGTGAGCTGTTTGACTTCCTTTGTGTGACCGAGATGCTGTAACTAGATAAGACATTAGTTCTGCTTACATCTTAATTATAATCTGTAAAGCCATTTTCTTCGTAAGTTCAGATTGTCCTTGAGGGGTCTTGAGTTTTGTGAATTTTATATGGTGTGCTGTTCCTCAAGCAGTGTTCCTGTGCACTGCAATATAGCTGTTATCAGTTAGCGTCTTCATGTGGGAAATTCCACCAAATGTTAGTAAGGGTGCATCTGTGCTTTTCAATGAATTAGCTGTAAGATTAATAATAGGTGGAGTATGCAGGTACCTAAATAATGCCTTAGGACTGAGACACGGTTTGGTTTGGTTTTGCAGAATTCAGCGTGTGACAGAAAAGTGAATCAGACATGTAAGAAGTTTGATGTGTCTGGAAAGTTATCCCCTTCTCTTAATTGTTGCTAGCAGAGATCTGTGTGTGCCTTTGCCGCATCCTCAGATGTATTTCAGCTGCATTGTACGCTGTGCCGTGGACTTCAGTAGCAAGGATAACCAAAATTCTGTTTTGTAAGGAAACCCACAAAACTGTCAGAGCTGTCATGTGCTCTGGTGAGTCCTGTGAGGGTGTACGCCCCACAGGGAGCCGAGTGCTGGTGTAGATTGTATAGTTGAAATGGTTTCATAATGCCTGACATCATCTTTGCTACAAATAGAGCAGACAGTGTTTTCTCATCTCCAGTGAGATACTGTAGTCACACCCTCCATCTTAGTTACCTGTTTTCTGGACTAAGTAAACCGATCCACCGCGCTGTATGGCATAGGTCATGCATTCCGTACCTCAGTGTTTGTTTTTGTGGGGGTGCCTGAACGGCTTCCAGTGACGGCTGAAGCTGTACCTGACTGGTGCTGCTCATAAGTGTGTGCCTGTCTTGCTCCCATCAGCACTTGAAGTGACTCACTGTGGTTTTATGCTGGTTGAAAACAGTTTCTTTTTTCAAGCAGGGTAATTTTTCTGCTGATATTGAGCTGCCAGATGAGTCCTGAAGCCGATGTGAGGCAGACGGTGGGGCTGTGGCAGCCAGCAGTGAGGTTGGCTTAAGTTGCTGTAAAACCTCTGCCTAATGATGCCTACTTTTTCCTGAAATCGGTTGTCCAAGATGAATCACTGCTGTCCATGAGTTGAGCTGATGTTGGATGTTACTCTGCAGTCTTTTTTCCTAACAGTTGCATAGAGGCTTTGTGCTTTGCTGTTTCCCTGTGCTTACCTGAAGACTGACACTTGAATTTCCTTTCGCTGGTCTCATGAGAGTCATTTATCTCTGGGATGTAGTAGTTTGCACTGGCCCAAGTCTGTGAGCTGGCATCCAGTAGAGACCACGTCTGTTGTTGGATTACGCATTGTGTTTCCAACACCCCAGAATGCACTGCTTGCAGGTTGTTACTTACTTACTGGCTTTCCTGCTTTCCATGCTGTGGCTGAAAGTATCGTATCTGTCATGAGACAGCAGAGACTTCAGCTAACTGTGTCTTAGAAATCCCATTCTGGTTTAGCTGGAAAAATTGGTAGGTGTGATTTGAGATCGCTGTTGCCCAGTGTGTGACGCAGCGTGTGGTTTTCTGGAGTTTGTTGAAAGGCTGTAAAACAAGAAAATCTCAAAAAACCTGAAGGGAAATCATGGCCTGTAACGTGTATTGCATCATCTTCCCCTTAAGTAGATTGGTTACCTTATCAAAAGGAAATCAGATCATATTTTCTGAAGAAATCCTTGCTGGCTGAATGTTTCTTTATTAGCTTCAAGTTCAGGGCTGCTCCAGCAGCAGACTCAGCTCTAGGTGCACACTTTGAATGTAATTTTGGCTGTGCCTACCACAGATGAGATACCTCTATGGGATTTCAACTCGTGGTTCTCTCACGGTGTTACTGTAGCTGAAGAGTATGCTGTCTTAAGCAGGAGTTCAGACCTTCCTGAGATGAACGTGATAAATTACCCTGTAAACTTAGGCTTTTTTCTGGGGGTGGGAGGTGGGGGCAAGTAGGATGAATAGTTACGCTCTGAATACTGTAATGCTGTGTTGGCTTTTGATAACTGTATCTGAAGTCTTTATGTCTGTCTCACAAAAATTAGTGTGAGTCTTCAGAGTGTGCGTGGCTGTAATGGCTGGCTGCTCTGCAAGGGTGGATTGCTGTGAACACCCTCCTGGCCTCTTGGTGAGCAGCTGGGTCGCTGGAGTGAGAGGTGATGGAGTACAGGTGGCTCCTGAGATGTCAGCCGAGCCCAGAACTGGGTTGTCAGTGTGGGAGAAGGGAATAGGGCTGTCCATTGAAGTCGTAAACTTCTGTGTTAATAACTCAGCTGTATTGTGCAACCTTGGGTGTTGGATCAGAGGCACCAGAGGCCCTTTTTATGTTAGCCTAACTTCAGACTTCTGTAATCTCAACTTTCTACGAAAGATCTCTGCAGTTGTTTCTAGTGGTTCAATAATTACTTTGGCTAGTTCTTCCAGGAAATCTTTTGTCATGTTCTGCTGACTTGCTCTGATTGAACTTGTATAAATATTTAACGAGTACTTCTTTTTCTAGCCTGTTCTTCCCACTCCTTAAAAACTAATTGCCATAAATGTTTTGTCCTAATTAACTTCATGAAGTTAATAACTTCATTAACTTCTTCGTGAAGTCTAAAGTAAATATGACATTACATTTTGCCATTGTTGTACTTGGGCCATTCCTGTTAAATATTATATTTAGGTGTATGTAATGGTATTTATTTTAATTTAAGCATATATAAACTCTTCCGCTGTTCATTTTTTGTCCTATGGTACTTGTG